ATAACTCCATGGATAAGGCAACGTAGGTCAAGCATAAACATCATTACCCCAATAGTTTGTTTTATTATTACTTAAACAAGAAGCCTCTTACCCACCATGCCCTTCACCATCACCATTATACCCAACATAAGCAATCACCATCACTAGTACCCGATCTTACTTGCATCTCCATATTATTCAAGCTAGTTAGATCTCTAGCTTGAGCAAACAACAATACCTTAATCTCAAAAGACTCATCTTCGATTTTTATTTGTGTTTGTTGGGTGTCTTTTTTACCCTCTTCCTCTATCTATTTTTAACCCATAAGAGAATGTATGTACATTCATGCATGTCAAGTAAATATAGAGCCTTTAAAGAGTACAAACCAAATAGAATCTAAGAGTATTGCTCATCTTAATTAGATCAATTTGAGGGTGGATAAGAGTGAAACTAAACAAAGAAATATTTAAATAAATAATTCCTACGATATTAAATGTATGGAGTAATGGTTTTCATGTACTATAGGTTACATGAAGAACAAGTGAAACCAGAAAAAAGAATACAATAGTAAATCGAATCATAGAACATCAACACAAGCCAACATAACCTAGACTCAACAAAATCCTAACTAGGCTGCAGAATGAAAGGAAATCGGAGATCGAAAACTAAGATAGTAACAACTAAAAATCAAAAAAGAAGAGTCATATTAGGAACTTAAAATTACTAAAACAACATAATTTTTTACCTGTTACGAGGAACCAAACAATTGAGTAAGACTGTTATTTCTTCCTTACATAATAAATAACACTACAAACAACATTAAAGTGAAGTTTATTTAGAAGAATTCGATGTGTAAAAACAAGGATTAAAGATTCCAAGTGTTGCTAAATAAATTCATCAGTGATCGAGCGAGTTTGACCTTTAAGAGTGGATATTTTTTAATCTGGATCCGACTTGTTTAACCCATTTTTGCTTTGAAAACGAAGAAAAAATAATAATAATAAAATATTTTAATAAAGAAACAATGTTAACCCAAAGAGGGGTAATACTAATATCAAATGTACGACTACTCTATGTCTAAATCAATCTAAGGTATGTTTCTTTTTGACTTAATAGACTTAGTGGGCTAGATTTCGTTTTGTTTTTTCATTTTTATCATTAAGCCATGTATGGGTAAAGTGATTGAATGGGTTATGACTTGTGTATGTATAAAGTTTTGTATACATAAGACATGTTTCGATTATTAAATGTTAACCTAAAGAGGGATAATACTAATATCAAATGTATGGCTACTCTATGTATAAATCAATCAAAGTTATGTTTCTTTTTGGCTTAATAGACTTAATGGGAACAAGACATTAGATGTCCTTTGTTTTTACCTTTTTCTTATTAAGTTGTGTATGGGTAAAGTGGCTGAATGGATTATGATTTTCGTATGGATAAAGTGTTATGTAAATAAGGCATGTTGCATCTATGGACTGAAGAAACTTCCTGAATGATACTAAAAGACCATTTTACTCTTCCATCCCCCCAAAAAAATCATAATATTCATCAAATTTTACCATGAGAGGAGTTGAGAAGCAAAAAAAGGAAAATATGTGAATGGTTACTGTCTAAATAGATCAAACAACCCCTTATTAGTGTCTCTTTTTGACTTAATGCATTCATTAGACAAGAAAGAAAGGAGATTTACTTCTAAGTAATTGGCACCACAAATATAGTCACTATTAATTGCTTTTCCAAGTAAGCAAGGAGTGCTTCCAACACTATGTCATACTATCTAGGACCTATATAACATGTTGTCAAAGAATAAGTCAACACTATCATCATGATCTGTAACGCCCGTGTTTCCAAGTTAGGAATTAATGATGATGTAACAGTCTAGGTTAACCTTTGTAACTCGTTTTGAAATAATAAGAATGTATTATTTGAGTATTATGTGTTTATTGCTTAATTGTGTGATTAAAATGGATTAAGAATAAAAATAAGCGATATAGTAAAATATTATATAAGCCCGATATCTATACATGAAGTTGTAGTGGCCGTGGCAAGGTTTCCGAATATATAAAGAATGCCGAAATCCGAGTTATAACGAAGAAGTTGTGACCTGTCGAAGTTTCGCGACAGAACCGGTACGACACTGTGTGACGTAAATAGTGAATTTAATATAGAGCGATATTTAGCCTTAGTGATCTAAATGAAATTCGTAGAATACATTAAACCGAGAGCGTGCATAAAAAGAACGTCTAAATCTGACTTCGTATGAGGAAGTTATGATTTTTCGAAGTTTCGACTTAGCGGTATGCAGCCCAAAGTTCGAATATGAGATCGAGTGATTTCTAGACGAAACAATCTAAATGAGAATCGAAGATCTCGTCGATGGTAATGCAACGGTAAAAAGACACACAAAAACGGACGTCAGATAAAGGAGTTATGAATTCCTAACGGAGTTTTCCTGTCCCGGCCTACTAAAAATAATATAATAAAAGTTAAATTCAAAATTAGCCGACGGAGTCTAAACGAGAGTTGTAGAGCATAATCTGACCTACGCGTGGATATAAAGAACGTCAAAAACGAAGCTCGTATGCGAAAGATATGAATTTCTGAAGTTCGGGGCATGAACTTCAACCCCTGTGTCAGAGCTCACAACGTGAGCATTAGTGGCTCACGACGTGAGCAGGTGATAGACATCTTCCAGGGAAAGTGGCCTGATGACAAACGCCATGACATCGAGCTCACGACGTGAGCATTAGTGGCTCACGACGTGAGCCTAGATTTTCAGCCTCCTATAAATAGAAGTCGAGTCCAGTCGAGTTTTGTTGCTCAATTTCTTTCCTCTCATCCATATTACCTCGATTTACGTGCAAGTTATACCCCTGAAGCCCTGATATCATCCCGAGACCCGAAGCGAGTCCCGAAGCACCGAAGATCCCGAGAAGAAAAGAGTTTCGAGCCGAAGCTCTGCCCACGAGAAGCTCGGTGTGTGAAGAGATCACAGTTTCACCGAAGAATTTCACTTTAAGAGCCGTAGTGCTGTCCGAGCATCGCCTTATCAAGTGAGTGCATAGTCTCTTTCATATACAAGATTTTAATACAAGTATTGATGAATGTATTAGACATATGATATGAGTAAGTGTGTAGTTGCCTTCTATAATACACATATATGAATTATACTATATGAAATACGTGCTATGTGATTATATACTATTTGTTATGTGGTATGAGTATTGAATGAATATGTTATACAGGTTTTTAAGCTGTATATAAACAAGTATATTTTATCTACAAATATGTTGGGTAGAACATGGGTACATAGTGATGTGTGATGAAATAAAAATGATGAGAGGCCTCGATGTTGTTGTTGATCTAGTCATCTAGCGGAGTATGGATGAGGACCACGGACTCTTTCTAGACTGTCCAGTGGAACGCTGGCAGGTTCATAACCTGTAGGTGTTGTGAACGATGTGTTCACCGATGTACTCTATCCCCCTCATGGTTGCCTTTAGGACATCTATTGTTGAGGAAACCCCTTTGCAGTAATGTCCATCCCGATGAAAAATCCTAGACTAGGTCCCTTGTGATAGTTGTTGTTTTAGGGACGTAAAGTGAGGATAACGGGAATGGGTAATCGGGTTATTGTTGGTTGGTGAAATTAAATATAATTATTTATTGTGGGTTGAAAACCCTATATGCTCACCAGGCTCCCAAGCCTGACCCACTAAGTTTCTTTGTATTATAGGTAGTGGCGCGAGAGCATAAGTTGGAGAACTTGTGAAGATGTTTTTGTTTATAGACCAGTAGTTGTATATAACTGTGTAAGGTATATGTTTTATTGTTTATGCTTTTGTGTCTGTATCGGAACATGACATCCCGAGTTTTATATATAATGAAAATACATTTCTTTAATAAATGCTTTGATAAACCTTATTTTATCATGTATTGTTTTGGGGCAAATTCCGCAACTCTTTTAAATCAATGGATTTACTCTGAAATTATTTTAAAAGCATAAATGAAACCGGTCTTTTCTGGCCGTGAATTTGGGGATGTCACATGATCAAACTTAAGAAATGGATGAAAAGTTGATGGTTTGAGTATTAATGGTATGGGATTCATCCTACTATTACGAAACTCAACATCACCATCACTAAAATGTTTAACATGAGTTCGGTGTACTAATTCCTTGGTCACAAAGTAGAAAACCATGTTGTAGTTTGTGGAACCAGGTATCTTCAATAGTAGAGTAGATCGGTATGTGTTCCGTACATAATATATAACATTACAAACAACATGATAGTGTGATACTGGAAATAACTTACTTGGAAATTGAACACCATGGAAAATGCCCTTTTTCAGCAGCAACCTATACATAAATAAGTATATAAAGAGGTATGAATAAGGAACTTGTAGAATTAATGACTTCAGAAATAAAAAATACTTAGGTTGCACTACTTGGTCGTTTAGTAACATAGTCCATTACATGTTCAAACTATAACCTTAAAATTCATTTCCAATTCCACAGCAGCCACCATTAAGAATAAATTTTCAATTATCTTTAGGAGAAAGTCCAAAACCAAACAGAAACCCATACGCTGATGGAAAAATCGATGGAATTAGATAAAAATTGGAACAAAAACTAAAGAAAATATTAATATGAATTGTCTTTTCACCTGCAAATCGATCTTGGTAGGCTACAATGGTGGTCCACTTTCTTCGCCTACAAATTAAGAATGGTGGGTTAAAATGGTGATCCGTTGAGATATATATATATATATATATATATATATATATATATATATATATATAGAGAGAGAGAGAGAGAGAGAGATAGAGAGAAAGAGAGAGAAAGTGAGAGAGATGTCTACATACATTCGATGCTTTCACTGCCATCTTTGTTTCTCTTAACTGGCGCTACTACCAGATGCATCACCCTCATTTTCGATCGTGTAGTTAAAGGTTTTTGGATTCCATAGGTGCGGTTGGAGTGTGGAATAAAGGGTGAGGTGTAAGGGAGATGGTGTGAGATGGAGGATGCTAAAAAGAGGCGGTGGCAAATAGGTCAAAAGGAGTCGGCGACTGTCGCCGCCAGAGGTAACGAAGATGGTCGGATGGTGAGGGTGTGATGGAGATGGAAACGAGGTAGGTGAAGGGTTGAGAGAATAAGCACGAGGATATGATCAATTTGGTTAGGTTTTATATTTATATTTTTTCTTTTTCATTTATTTTACTCTAAAATAAAAAACGACATTTGAAGATGACATGCATATTTTGATGGTGTACTCCATGTTTTTATTTTTTCGATTATGACACTATAACATGACATACAAATATGTATGTCGTAAACTCTTCATTTTTACAAAAACATGACATTTATTTTATGACACATGTTTTAGGTGTCATAAAACTAGTGCGTTTCATAGTTTGAATGTCAATAAAGGCCTCTTTTCAAGTAGTGAGTGACTCTTGTGTAGTAATCAATTTATAAACCATCAACTGATACTTCACACACTTCTTTCTTAGTTGTCTGATAATCTTCAAATTCTTTAGACGGTGTGTTGAATCAGAAGTGGTCCTTGCCTCCGTGGGGATTCTAGTTGGTTGTTTGAACTTCATAAGTATTGGCATCCAAGTCATTAGCATCAGCATATTTATGTTTATGATATGAACATGTCTTTGATGTCTTATCAGCTGCTGATCATCGGTGTGTTTTTACTAGCTACTGATGATCTGTAGATTAAACTTAGTGAAATGTGTTAAATGTATATAATGGCTTGTCGGTCAGCAAATGTACAGAGTGTTAAACCCAACACAGAATTCAATATAGCCAATCATTATCTATGAATGTTCACTCATACATATCTCTTCCAATAAAAGAGTAAAGTTTTGTCCACATGTCATTTTCTCATAATTTATATTTTTTTTCACATACATTTTAAAAATTACATGTGTCATGTCTTATATTAATTCTCATTAAGAAATTTTAATCAAAGAAATTTGGTCATTGACAACCTGTGATATCTTCTTAAATAATATTTTGAATTGATATTTGAAATATAAATCAAAGATTCCTTATCAAGAATTGACGACAACAAATTTGAAAATCCTATCTTTTTTCATTCACGAAGAAAGATGGAAACAATTGACATTTTCCAAAATCATGCAAAGAAATAGTTTCAAATTACCGGAATTTTCGTATTATTACCAAATCAACATATTATCATTGATCAATCTCTTATTATAGTTTTCATTAACTATTGATTTTAACCTACAATTTTTCTTCTTTGTATTCATTGTCGACCTAGACAAATTTAAGACTCACATTTTCAAGTTGTTAATCTCGATTTTAGGTTAGTAATATTCTTCTTTAGCTTTTTCAATTCATTATTTTAATTTAGGTTTCTTAAACGTAGAGTCTCTAAAACGTGTCACTGCTTTGAAATCTAATCAAAGTGCTTCGTGTCATCTCATGCTATGAATTCGCATCATGCTTTGTCGGTTTGAACCTTTCTTGATTGTCTGCTCTAATAGCTTTATTTTTGGAAGAAATTAAAGGCCGATGAATTTTAATTTTGATTGACAATATGATATTTATGTTTTTTTCTTATTGTGACATCTAGCTCAGTAAGAAACTAAACACTGGTAGACAAAAAATTGTTTGACTCATACAAAAATGTAGTCTATAGAGACAAGAGATTATGTCTTTTTCTTTGTCAACGGCCCTAAGGTTTTTCTACGCACCCCACTTTCTTAATTCTTTAATAAATTTTTTGTGTTATATATCATTTTGAGCAAAACTAAAATACAGTATATGATTTTTTTCAAGCTAAACATCCTAAAAGTATCTTCTATTATTCTTTCTTCTTTATTAATTTTAAATATTGAACGTTTGGTTTGAAAGATTGATAGAATTCGTAGGAGATTTGCCTCTCTCTTTGTCAACGACCCTAAGGTTTTTCTACGACCCCTCTTCCTTGATTCTTTAATAATTTTTTGTGTTATAGATCATTTTGGGCAAAACTAAAATACAATATTATGATTTTTTCGAGCTAAACATCCTAAAAGCATCTTCTATTCTTCTTTCCTCTTTATTAATTTTAAATATTGAATGTTTGGTTTGAAAGATTGATAGAATTCGCAGGCGGGTTTCCATCTACTTCTTTACTTATACACCGGTTGTATTGACACTGATTTTGGGTTTTCTCTCTTTGGCAAACAAGTTCCGGTTTGTAATTTATTTATTTTTTTGTATTATTTTCTTGGCTTATCTTAAAATATTGGTTTTCTATGCTCTATTGCAGGCTTGATTGACGTGAGAGTATGTTTTGGCTTCTATTTTCACCAATTTGCCCTTGATACTGTTCTCATGCCACCGTTCATTTGATGTTGATTTCTCAATCCATTATTGGCTACCACTAGGAGGATGTTTGTTTCTATTTGAATATCGATGCTCAACCTCATGTTTGAGGTGATGCAGATAGCCTTGAAATCTTTATGTAGATGGATTAAAAATTGATGTTGTGGCTTAGTTCATTGGGCAGTTTTAGTTTATGTTTCTTATAATTTCCTAAGTTGTCTATTTGTAATTAAAAGTTTGCTAAAAGGCATTTAATTAAATACAAATATTATTTCATTTTTATATTCTTTAATCTATCATTCTATCATATTTCATATTTAACAGTGATTTATAAGCTAAATACATTTTTAAAATTATTCATTTTTGTTTTTTGCGGTCAAATGACCAATATTTAACTATAACGAGCAATAAACGCATAAGCATGTCGGTTAAAATAAATGCTTACAACTATATGATTAACATTATGCTTTTTAAAGTTTCAATAACTTTGTCAACCATGGTGAACATGGGTTATAACTTAGTGTATTTATAAATTGTCTGGATAACCTTAACCAATAGAACTTAATTTATACACATTTAGATCACTTCTTAAGTAAAAAAATATAGAACATTATATTTACCCTTTTTCATGGAAACAAAAGTTTATCGTATGAGTGTTCGAAATGGAAACTTTATAATATGACTTGATGGTAGCTAGTAACCAGATATCACAATTTTGTATATTAATACAAATCATATGAATATTTTGAAATGACTGATAATTCATAATAGAGACACAAACAGTATAAGACTCTTTATAGATTTTGACTGATATTCTGTTCTTCAAAACTACACAAGTTAAACATCTGCTGAACATGACAGATCAAATAGCTACCTTTATTATTTTCTATCAATTGTCGTATTCTTCTTCTATTTATGCAAATATATTAACATCCAAAAACAGAATGACAAATGCAACCAAAAGGGACCAAGGGCAGAGACTAAAAGCCTCACAATGGTATGGAATTAGATTCAAAGTTTGATGCGTCTCCAATTTACAAACACTTGTAAATTCTAGATTTGACATTACCTTATAGGCCAACCATTGATCAAGAATATCTAAAAATATCAATCACTATATATGAAATTCTTGAGTACGATATACAACAAAAGGTCAAGAGGTTAGAAACGAGCTTATCTGGTTGTAGATTTGAGTCATAAAATCTATTCTTGTAGAATATAAAGAAAATGTTGCATGCAAAGACTCCTCAAACAAATCTTTATTTTATATCACTACAGCATCATTTTTGTTGTGATGAAAATAAAAAAGGACCCTGTTTTAGTGACATGGCTTAAACTATATCTATTTGTAAAATGGTTTGACACTAGTGGATGAAAAAATAACTCACATTATATTCTATGATGGTCTTGATGATATGGTATGCATGTTATGCCATGTTCACGTTCTTAATGATGCCCTTGTGAGAATCGAGCATTAATCCTAAATAATATGCCTTGATATTAAAACATTTATGATGTAGATGTTGATATGGGACGCACATATATCATTGAACTAGGTGTAAAACTTATGTATTACATGGGTTCATTTAAAAAAATTATATATAAAATTATAAACATTTGAGAAGTTGAATTTATAAGTAAAATAGAAAAATATTGAATTATTAAAATTAAATTGTTTTTTTCTCTTTTAAATTTAAACAAGTAATTTAGATAAATAAACAAAGAAAACTAATGGACTTTAATTAATAAATTTTGAAATTAAAAGGAAAATCAATTAATGAAATTGAAATGCCTTTATTATTATATTTATTGCAATTAATACATTTAATAAAAATGAAACAACCACAAAATGCAATGTGGGAAAAATTTAATTGAAAATAACTATAAAATGACATGTGGTCAAATCAATGAGAGTGTGACAAGTGGCAAAAAGTTTTTTATTTATTAGGGAGGATGTTAGGCATCAAAACTCTTGCAATGGAAGCATCTTCATCAATCGTTTTCGAGCTTTTTTTTGGCACAAGAAAAATGGATGCATACTCAGAATTGTTATATGCTATCTCATATGTAAGGCTATTGCCTACTAGGATTGCTACTGTGGCCTTTTGAGGATTCTCTCTAGGTCCTTTGAGGATCAAATTCCCAAAGCACACATTGCATTCACCATTCTAGTAGTTGATAGCTTTGAGTATAATAAATCTATATCTTATTGGTAACACCTTAATAAAATAAAATGTGTCATTTATCTACTAATGTATTTCATATTGATATATTCTCTAATGTACGCTTGAGTCTTAACCATTTTGACAACTCAGTTGAACCTTTACTTTATTAAATCAAGATATCATTGTACTTATTTATTATTTTGGAATATATTACTTGTTACATCCTATGAAAATTACAATAGAAAACCACATGCATATGATTGTTTAGAACAAAAACCATAAAATTGTCGTGGTTTAGACCAACTCCAACCCACCTCCATTTTTTCCCCCAAAAATTGAGTAAAAAATTGGGCAAATAGTGTTTTATCTCCAACCCTACTCCATTTTTTACCCCATTTTTACCCCCAAAAAGTATATTCCTAGTATATTCCATTATTCCAACTTACATAGATTGTCAAACACATCCCTCTACTAATTTAGTTTTAACAAATATATAATCTATATTTTTTCATTACATTAATATTAAATACAAACGATTATATTTATAATAAACTTATAAATAAATATTATACATGCATTTATAAAAATACTACACATACACACTTTTAAATAAATATTAAATAAATAAATAATATTATTGTCACTTGTTGGTTTTTATTAGATTATTATTGTAATATATAGGTTAACTACATGTTTAATAGCATATGTTATCGTGATTGTAATATATATTTTAATTATAAGTTTTTGTAAAATACGTTATCATTTTTTAGAATTTCAATATGTATTTAAATTTTTATATGAATTTGATGAACAAAAAACAAACTATATATTTATAATTAATTAATATAATTTAATATATAACAAAATATTATAAGCATTAAATATTATATTTAAATTATAATTAGTAGGTAAAAATGAACTAGAAATGTATAAATATATAACAGAGGGACTAAAACCGACAACGCAAAGTTCACCCCCATTTTTGGAGAAATGAATAGTATAACACCATATTTGGTGTAATACTATTCATATCCCCCAAAATGGGGGAATAAATGGGGGAGGATTGGAGAAGAATGGGGGAAGAAATGGAGGAAAAAATGGAGAATGGGAGTGGGTTGGAGATGCTCTTAGAAAACCAAAACCCATTACCCATCCCAATAAGATCTCCAAAAATATAGCTCTAGAAAACCAAAACTCCATTCCTTCTTGTATGGGTCCTGCTCACCCTCAACCATTGACTATCGGAGAGGAAGGTGTACTGAAAAGTGTACGGGTTTACATCTCAGAGGACAGTACAAACAGTAATGTGCAAAATGGTGGTAAATCTTGGTCTCACGTTACGAAACATTTTCACAATACAATGATATGTGGTGTCAATCGCACACACCACCAACTCAACTCAAAATATATGCACTGAAGGCGGCGCTCGAGCAATAGCCATTGGAACATAATGAGTCGACATTTGTCCATGACTCTACATAGGATGTTTTTAGAAAATCCCCAAAACGGGCGGCGAAAGGAACCAAGAAATCCAAATGAATGATTATACAACATCGATGGATGTGTGTTGCCAATTTGAACTCAATGACATGGATGACAAGATTAAGCTAGAAGAACCTTGATGATCTGATCAAGAGGGATAGATGGAAAAAGATTTTTTTCGTCGACTTTTCGAGCTACAATAGTGACAAAAAATAGATCGCTTTGTGAAGAAGTTGGACAAATTCACTTCGACTAATGACCAACGAATAGAATTTGAAAAATAAAAATTCTATATAAAGGAAAAAGCGCTAGAGGAAAATATCCTTGCAAAAAATTACGCACACGAGGAAAAAAATCCGTACACAAATGGAAGCATGGGAGATTGAAGATTTTAAAATTTTAACCGCACCCACCGATCACTTAAAAGGAACCACCCTTCGAGCGGCTAAAGCATTGATGGATAAAATAGCAAAACAAAATTGTGATTTAGTCGGTTTTTATTATTAGTATTATGTAATTTTCTTTTTGTTTAAACTAAATAAATTTTTAATAATTATTAATTGTATTGAAAAATATAAAAGTGGGTGACAGGTGAAAAAAGATGGGTATAATATACTTTGGAAGATTGAGTGAAAGATGGAAGAAGGGAATGAAATAGTGTAACGGATAGCCTAAAAGGCTTTAATTTTATATGATTTATAACAGAGGCATTAGGATCAAACACTAGAGTCATGTTAATTCAACTTTTGTAGCATCAAATCATCACCAATGCATTAAAAGTTTCCAAAAAGCATAACAATTTAAAGTATAACACGGCCATAAAATTACTGTACAATCAGTATGATGAAAAGGACATAACAACTGTGTTAGTGTGTATCATCACAACCATATATTTTAATTACTATTATTTTCCCACCATTGATACCATAAAACAAGGATCATATGTTCATTATAGAAAATCATCTTAGAGGTTGTAAGAATTTTGAATACATTTGGTGACAATTCTACACACTCATTGTTTTAAATTATTATCCTTTTGATCAGTAAGATGTAAAATATAACCCAAATACATTTTTTTCTTTGAATAACAATATATTCAAATATGAAAATAATCACCCAGAATTATGGAAAGTTGATGGCTTCTTATTGCAATTCAAGTTGCATATTTAGGCCTATCTTATATCCAATTTGCTTCATCCCTTTAGTAGAAAGGCAGTACATGATTCCTTTGCAACAAAAGCCCACCACTCCACATCTAAACTCTTTTTGGCTCATAAACATTAAACCCCCAAGACAAACAAATCTTGCCATATATTTCTTTTCAAAAGATTCTAAAATCATTTTATATGTAAAAAAAGGTGAATTAATTGTTCAGGCCAAACTAACTGACTTGGGTTCTTGAAACTAGACAAAGCGCAATCTGACACATATGAACTTTGAAGGACTAATCACCATTTATGACTTATACACTTAGATTGATGTAAGTCCATCTTTGTTTGTGACATGTCTCAAAGACTTAAATACCCTTTGTAGGGGTAAACGGGTAACTTCTTGTACTAGCGATTTTCACCGGATATCGTGGCATGGAAGCAGTAGCATTTTCCATGGGACGGATGGAGCACAATGTAACCAAAAATAGTAAAAGGGTATGAAGGGAGTGGGTAGGAACCCATTTTTTGTGGCCTTGAGTGGAAAGGAATAAGACCCAAATATTCTTGACTTGAGAATATGACCTATTGGCTTTAATTAAAAAAGATTCCAAGATTCTATTCCAATGGAATCACTCTTTCTATTCTTCTTTTTTCCCTTTTTCCATTGAGAATTACATTCCAATGTCATTTCTGTTTTCTCTACCATCCGCTGCCAGGCACGTGCATGTAGTCACCACCAATAAGGTTTTTACAGGTGTCTCCAAGTTTATAAAGTCCAAGGAGAATGTGATACTTAACTATGATACGTTGATATGTTCCTTTACGCGAGCTTCACCTTGTTTTCAAAAGACAACTTAAAGAGACTATTACCATGAGAGCCTTAAAAAAGGAAATACAAGTACAAAAAGAGAACAAGTACCCATGTTCAAGATTCCAAAGTTGCACAGAATATATACATAGGAATAAAGAAACAATAGCTTCTTAACTAATTACAGTTCTAATAAATAAACATTGGCAAAATTCTGTTGAGACAGTATTTTACACATTTCACTAATGTTATCTTTAATCATGTCAGCATGATGACATGCTTATGGTATTATATATATATATATATATATATATATATATATATATATATATATAGAGAGAGAGAGAGAGAGAGAGAGAGAGAGAGAAAGAGAGAGATATGCAAGTAAACCCTTTAAATCCAAAATTATGGAAAAGTGAAGTTTTTTAAAGTACTTTGTAATTTGTAGGAACCATTACTACAAATATGGTCATTGGGTCTTGGAGAGAATGACATGAAATGAAAGTTGTGCCAAAAGATAAGAAATGTTGTTGGTGTATAAATTAATGTATTCTGAATCCGATATTAAAACAGTTTGCATACCAATAGGTATATGATATGACCTTAAAATCTTAAATTTTAATCATGCTGCCAATGATAGACAGAAACTCCAGTTTTTAACCATTTATAATAGAAACTTTCCAGAACACTAAAATGGTTGATTTAATTGCTAATCTAAGCAAATGATACACCTATAATATAATCTTTAGAGATGCAATCTTATCCTAGATAGAACAACATGAATAAAAGACCCCAAACGAGACCCAAATGTGCATGAACATATTGTTATTCCTATCCACATGCCAGCAAACTGTTAAGGAATTTATTTCAGTTGTCACTTTACCTAAAAGCTTACAGATACCCTCTAAAATGCATAATATATCAGCATTAAAGTGATATTTGAAAAAGTTATGATAGCACTAACATGAAGATATCATTTTCAGTTTACATGTCACACATGTTAGACCAATACAATTGCAAAAAATTTAGAAATTTAAAAGATAGAACAGCAAATTCTAAGGAAGATGTGTGTAGAAGATTTATACCAGATGTGCTTTTTCTCATGAAATGGAAGTATGGAGGCAACTAGCAAGTACAACCCATCATTTGATCTTTCTTTCTTTTCGAAGGGTCCCACCAGAGTACAAATTCTTGGAGGCCTGCTGTCCTATAACAACCGAAGAATGAGTTGATTTTGGTTAAGGGGCCCACTTACGCCTATTTGAAATACTGTTTAGGCTGAATAAGTACCAAACTTGAAGGGGACAAAAAGGAATGTGTTCTTATTCCACTCCTGCCCTCCAAGCTGAAGCATCTCTCAGTTTTTCTACTTTTTTCTTGTTTGTATCTATTGCAAGTTGCAGATGCTTTAGTCAACCTAAGCTTTCCATTACCTCTAAATTTAACTTCATATTTTATTATGTTGTCATTATCTATGTCCTAAATACAGAAATATGAAAGGTAATCATCATTAACAATCTAATTCCAATGCAATGAGAAATGAACGATGATATAAGGTCGCAAGACAAGAAAGATAGTGAATACCCTGTAATCCTGGTCAGAAATTTCATGGAATAAGATTCTTTTTACTTTACCATACTTGTGGATCTATTCTGGTACCCATTGTAAGGTGTTTAGAGTTCTATAGTGCAACGGAATTATATATTTCTGTCTGAGAATAATAAAAAGAGTGGGGTCGTAAAATAAAGTACCCAATGAATTCAGAAGAAAACAGAAATGTATTTACAAGTCGCCACGAAGATTTGATTGGGTTTTATTGTTGTTCGTGTTCCTTCATTAGATCTGTCCAAGATTCTATGCTTCACTTGGAATGCACCCCTCCTACCCCTATCCCCCATCCCACCCCCACCCCCACCCATTCTCCATTTGCTTTATAAGGCCAGGCTGAGCAAACCACCAGTATGTGAGGATAATAAGATATAGATAAGAGTTATAGTATCAAGACGCATATTTGAAAATACAGAAGAATCAAGTTTCATAATCTCAAGGGTAAGAAGATCAAGACTTCAGGAGACAATAAAGTATGCAGGTACCAAATTCAGTATGTTAGCTAGATTTATGATATTGGTATATTATATCTTGCGACTATAAAACTGATTACAAAAATACTTTTTTCAATATAAAGATGTATCATCACCATCATCAAGGAAAGGACATACAGTCTTCATCAAGAATGTCAATTACACCAGATAGACATTTGTTTCTGCAAGGTGGGGGCGATTCAGGACTTGTTTTATCAACTGATGCTAAACCTCGACTCAAATGGACACCAGATCTCCATGAACGCTTCATAGAAGCAGTCAACCAGCTTGGAGGAGCAGATAGTAAGCACAATATTCCTTAAATTTTTGTTTAAAGAAAATAAGAAATGAAATGAAAAAAGAAGCTTATTGAATCTTTTCCTATATTTTGTTAGAGGCTACTCCAAAATCAGTTTTGAAGCTAATGGGGATTCAAGGGCTTACTCTATACCACTTAAAGAGTCATCTCCAGGTACATATATCTATATGTAAATGACATGTATACATACTCCTCAAAGTTCCTATATTTGGCTGAAAACATGCAGACAAACTAATTTGATTTTTGGGTTGGCAGAAGTACAGACTCAGTAAGAATCTATATCGCCAAACTAATAGTGGTGGCACAAATAAAGTTGGTAAGAAATCCAATAATCCATTTTTAAAATGTTTTGAAATAATTTAAAGTAAATTATTATTCATATGATAACAAGGATTTTCGTTGTAGATATGGTTGCACCAACAGGAGATGACATTGGTGAAACGAATGGAAGCCACATGAGCAGTTCAAGTGTTTTCCCTCAAACAAACAAGTAAGAGTCATTTATTCAGTTGTGCATATGCAAATGACAAGTATACCCCTCAAATGTTCATTCTAATGATACAAACACCCATTCAGAAATTTGCAGATAAGTGAAGCAATACAGATGCAAATTGAAGTTCAAAGAAGGCTACATGAGCAACTTGAGGTACAAAAGACAATTCAAAAAATATACAAAAGCGTTTATGGTTCGATTGTTTATATATCTTTTAATCTGAAATAGGTACAGAGACACTTACAGCTTCGAATAGAAGCACAAGGGAAATACTTACAATCAGTTCTTGAAAAAGCACAAGAGACCCTTGGAAGCCAAAACTTAGGTGCAGTTGGACTAGAGGCTGCAAAAGTTCAACTATCAGAATTGGTCTCAAAAGTATCCACTCACTGCTTAAGTTCTACATTTCCGGGTATGAAAGATGTCTCAATACAGACAAACCAGCCAACAGATTGTTCGATTGACAGTTGCTTGACTTACTGTGAAGGACAACAAAATGAACAAGATATGATGGGGTTGACTCTTTTGAAGTCAAAGAAGGTTGAAAATGAGCCAGAAAATGTATGGTGTGAAGACACGAATAGAAACAAGAAGTTTGATTTGTCGATGAGTGTTGGAGGACTCAAGACCAATGAATGGAACACCAGTAGAAGCTACACTGAGGAAAGATTTATGGATAGGGACGAGGAAGCCATTTTAATGAATCAAAACAATCAAAAGAAGACACACTCGGTGAAACTGGAGAAGGTTGAGATGTCACAAAAGTTTCAGTTGCCTTATTTTGGACAAAAACTTGACCTTAATGCCCATGATGGGAATGATGCAGCTTCAAGTCACAAGCAGTTCGATTTGAACGGACTTAGTTGGTAATAAAAAGGTTTAACTTTAAGTGCAGAGCAGAATCATCTTTTATCATTAATGACTTGGATAAGAAGTTTGAACCAGTGATTCAAGATCTTTTATTGCATTTTCAGAATTTTTGTAGTATATATAGTTGGAGAAACATGAGATATTTCAATCAATGAATAATGATGATTCAGTTTTACTGATGTGGTAAACCTAGGGGAACATGTCACTTCTTATATTGAATAATATCATTCAAGACTTGCTTTTAACACTTATGATCCCTTGCTACTGCTTTTATACCATGAATTATAATCATTTTGACGAATGGCCTATACCTAGGGCTGTAAACGAACCGAACGTTCGGCGAACTGTTCATGAACGGTTCAGCGGGAAGTTCGTTTATGTTCGTTTATTTAATAAATGAATGAACATGAACAATGGCCCCGTTCGTTCTATTACGTTCGTGAACGCCCGTTTATGTTCATTCATTTAAGTTCCTTTTATGTTCATATATGTTCAATTGTGTTTGATTACATTACTATATTATATGTCCGTTTATGTTTATATATGTTAGTTATATTTATTTATCTATGTTTGTTTATGTTTATGTATGTTAGTTATGTTTATTTATCTACGTTTGTTTATGTTCGTTTAGCCTGTTCACGAACATGAACAATGTAAATTTTTAAACGAACGAACATGAACGAGAAAATTCGTTCGTTTATCAGTTCGTGTTCGTTCATTTGTCCGGCTAACTTAAACAACCGAACATGAACACACTTTTGTTCGTGTTCGTTCGTTTCTTTTACAGCCATTTACCTGTATGCATCTTCCGAGGGTTGCTAGTGGCCCACGTCAATCAGCCCAAAGACAAGGTCAAATGCAAAACACTAGCAATGTTTTATATGTATTAACGTTTGAGACCTCATGTGTGGTATTTCATTCCTCAAAACTAGTCATTACTCAAGATTTAAGTGGCTAAAAAATAATCAATTTGTCACTTAGAGGAGCATGATGAAAGAGAAAGCCCATAATAAACCCATGCATGCATTACATGGGTAGTTGAAACTTGGAAATGACAATAATCATGGGGCGTTGAGGGGGCAAAGTAGTCAGTTGTACAGTGCCCAATTTTTTTATTATATATTTTTTTTAAAATAAAAAAATATAATAAAGATAAAAGCCCTTTTTTTGTTCGTCTTGAGCCTTTTAGAATATTTAATTTCTGAAGACCGGCCCTACAATAATAAAATCCCTTTGAAATGTTCTAAAATGAAAAACCTAATTTATAACTCAAATGGCATTAAACGGAATTAATTATAAGCATAGAGTCCTCCACCCTAAACTTTCAGAGCATTGGGCGTGGGCAGGTGCAACACCAAGTTGTGCCACCTCACATGCCACATAAGCAAATGGTGTTATAACACCAAGTGGGGAAATGGACAACAAGATGCAACACCAACTTTTTGAAAATAAATATTTTTATTTTTGTATTTTTCTTTTACTATTTCGTTTTTTTTTTTACTTTTTTTTTGGTTTTCGTTTTTTTTTCTTTTTGCGTTTTTTTAATAACTAATATATTTTTTATAAAACATATAATTTTAAAAACAAAAAAAAGACATAATATTTAAAATCTAAAATTCCGATTACAATTAAAAAAACATAATTTTAAACCTAAATTAATAACTAAAATATCATTCAAATTACTACTAAAACCACACACCAATCCTAATTAACCCACATATTGCTGCTCAACATGTCATTGTTGCGATACAGATTTTTCTTTAAAATAGCGTGAAACTTGTCGAGCACCGCCCCCCAATAAGCTCCTTTTTTCATTCCATTTCCGCGAAGTTCGTTTTTTGAAGTAGCACACCAAGCCGCCGTCAAAGCGTATTCCTCCTCCGGTGTCCACCATTGTGGAACGTCTGCATTGTCTGTTTCTACCGCTATTGATTTCCCTTTTGATTTTCCTTTCCCTTTCCCTTTCTTACTACTTCCCGCTTCCACTTGAACTGATGGTTGTGTTGTAGGCGATGGTTGGTTGGTTGTTTGTTGCATCGAACCAAAAGTAGAGAAAAGATTTTGTTGTAAATTTGGGTTTTGATCAAATTGATTTTGTTGAACGTAAGGTGAGTTGGGAAATTGCAGTGGCGGTGAAGCAGGATTGAAAGCGGCACCTTAGTATGGGATTTGTGGTGAACCTTGAGACGACAAAAGGTTGAAATAATTTTCATACCCCGCAAATCCGAGAGGCGAGGTTGTGTTTGGGTTTGATGATGGAGGGGGGTGTTTGGCTTTTGCTCCATTTTTTGAAATTTTAATGAAAAATGTGTATAAGATATAGAGAGAATGAGAGAAAGGTATATAAAAATTTGAAATAAAGTATATGTATATATATATAGGTAAAAAGGTAAATTTTTTTTTTTTTTTGAATTTGACCGTTATCAAACGGTCTAAATAACAACGGTTATTTGCGCGTTACAATTCGTCTCGACGGCAACGAGAACCCACGCAATGAGGTGCAACGAGATTGGGGGGCGGTGTTCTTCTCGTCGTAACGCCGTTGAGGGGTGCCACCTCACCCGCGTTGCATCTCGTTTGTACCCACACCGATTGCTCTAAGCAAATTGTTCGGCCAAAATTGATATTCTGTGGAATATCATGTAGATACAAAGAAGCGGCCGGATATATGACTAGAACAGAAGATCTAATCCGATTTCTGATTGACGGTTGAAGCACGATATTTTGTTAAGATTCATAAAACCGATCATATTTCTACGTGAAAATAAACCAAAAGACAACTGAAATCACACGAAAGCTGTTGAGATTGACACTGAACAATATTTCTACCGAATAGCGAAGTGTCGATGGTATACATAATATAGACGTGACACGTCTCTACTCAAACGAAAGGACCTGCCAAAATTTTTGTTAAAAGCCATAAAATCATGGTCTGCGGTAGGGGGGCAAAGGGGCAAAAGTGGGTTGTACACAGGACCTATTTCTTTAAGGGGCTATTTCTTTATTTTTATTTTTTTATTATATTCAATTTCAGCCCAAATCTTAAAAATAAATAAATAAAATAAAAATAAAAAATTACGTATTTTAGTTCTTTACACGTTAGAACTAAGGACCTTTTTTTGCGACTCGGCCTAGATATTTCAATCCTCAGAACGGTCCCTATATAAAATCCTAACATATTTGTGGAAGAGAATAACCCAAACTCAATAAAAACCCTTAGACGTTTTTTCAACTTAACTTCAAAAGATTTTTTTTTCTATTTATCATTCACAATTTGTTTTTCTTCTGGAATGACCACTCGTATCACAGTTTTTCGACCTTTTAACCAAAATATTGTTTTTTTGAAAAATATTTACCAACTAGTGCTACTTTTATATTTATTTACCTATTAATTCTATTGGCTTTTAAAATGGAAAATCTTAATTGTTCCGATTTATCTCAAATTTTCTTGAAAATATTAATCGTTCTCAATTTTCCTCACATTTACTTTCTTCCTATCGCGGGACTTGCCCTTTCCCTTATCATTTTATCAGCTTTTCTTCCATAGTCATTCATCATATTAATTTTTGTATGCTATAAAAAATCATTGTGAACTGTGTCTCTTCATTCTTTTTCATTATTAAATCATTGTGAACTGTGTCTCTTCATTCTTTTTCATTATTATGTGTCTTTCGTTCTTTTAGATTATGTACTTATGGTCTTATGGGTTCATTCTTTTACATTATGTAAGCATGTATAGAGTTATACTCACCAACTACTAGACAAAATGTTCCACAAAAACCAAGAGTTGTTTGTACCTGAGAACATTATCACAAATCGATGATATGGTTTTAATGATGGCACAATTGAATTAGGCCACATATGTTTTGGGGCCTATATAAGGCTTGAGGGAGTGGTGCATGGCATGTCATGTTGTCTTATCAGTTTTATCACAAGACATGCATGACATGCCATTTTTAGAGGTGGGTCAAATTGGTAAATTAAAAAAATAATAATAATAAAATAGCCTAACCCTCACATTCTCTCTCATTTCTCCTTTCTCTCACATAGGCAATCAAATGTCATTTGAAGCCCTCCATCTCGACATGCCACCATCGATGGAGTGTTTGCCAACATTTACCATTGTTGTCAAAGCTTTAAAGATTGTTATATCAGAGGCCATGGAAAAAGGAATATATATATATATATATATATATATATATATATATATATATATATATATAAAGTGGTAACTCTTCCGAACAGTGGACCCACAATCTCTCTTTTTCAATATGTGGATGATGTTATTTTTTAAGAGAATGATCAAAAGAGAATGCTTCTAATCTTTTGAGGATTCTCAGGTGTTATTATCTTGCCTCTGGCCTCAAACTTAATCTTTCAAAAAGAAAGGTTTAAATTGTAGTGTTGGTGAGTTTCCTTTCATCTACCTTAGTACTCCGGTTGGGTCTGGTATGAGCCGAAAATCAAATTAGGTGTCCTTAATCAATAAATTTAACAATAAGCTCTCAAATTGGAAAGCTCGAAATCTTTCCTTTAGGGGTAGGCTTGTTCTTTGTAAGGAGGTTCTCGGTACGATGGGTTCATACTTGTCCTCGCTTTTTAAAGCCCCAAGTAGTGTTATTAACCGTCTTGAGAGTGTCAGGTGTAGGTATTTTTGGGGTGGTTCTTCAAATAAACATAAAATTACTTGGGTTTCCTGGAAGAAAGTTCTTAACTCGAGGGACAATGGTAGCTTAGGCATTAGTAGTCTTAGAGCGTTCAACTATGCCTTACTAGTTTAGTGGTGGTGGCAGTTTAGAAATGATAATCGAGGAATATGGCGTGATTTCATTATGTAATTACATGGCCCTAATGGTGGGATTGGACATAACGGGGCTATTGCTTGAAGAGGGGGGCTTGGGGTGTCATGCGCCATCTTAACTTGTACCTGAATCAGGTCGACCTTAACGTTTTTTTTGTATTTTCAGGATAACAATTGGAAGTGGATTGAAGACAAAGAA